GATTAGAGGCATGCGCCACCACACCTGACTAATTTTTGTATTCTACGTAGAAACAGAGTTTCACCATGTTGGTCAGGCTGGTCTCAAATTCCCAACCTCAGGTGATCCTTCCACCTTGGCCTCCCAAAGTGCTGGGATTACAGGCATGAGCCACCGCGCCCAGAAAGGATTATTCTTACTTATTTGTTTATAGGTCTCAAAACATTTTTAAAAGGTCACAGTCAATTTACTGTTTTATGTAAAGCCTTTAAAAGAGACAGTAAGGTGAATGATCCATTTAGTTATTTTTTGGTGAGGAAGGAGTGGTAGGAAGAAGAGAATGTTATCCATGTTTCTTAGTTTTCTTTTTTTGTACGTATTTTTCTTTTTTTCTATTAAAAAATGGATGGCACAAATTTTTTCTACAAAAAACCTGTACTTATTTGTATATCATTTTAGTTCAGCAGCCACCATTATATTTAACAGTACCTGTTTCTATTCTGTATTACGATTTTTTTGTGCGTGTGTGAGATGAAGTCTCACTCTCTTGCCCAGGCTGGAGTGCAGTGGGGCGATCTTGGCTCACTGCAATCTCCGCCTTCCAGGTTCAAGCCATTCTCCCGCCTCAGCCTTCCAAATAGCTGAGATTACAGGCGCCTGCCACCAGGCCCGGCTAATCTTTTTGTATTTTTAGTAGAGAAGAGATTTCACCATGTTGGCCAGGATAGTTTTGAACTCATGACCTCAAATGATCTGCTCCCCCCTCAGCCTCCCAAAGTGCTAAGATTACAGACGTGAGCCACTGTGCCTGGCTCATATTATATTATCCATAATCAATAATGATTTGGTTTCTTAAATAGCATTTCCAATTTATTTTGCTATTGATGACATGGTGTTCTTTGTAGCTGATTCATCACTTTTTAAAATCTGTCTCACAAGCAGCTCATGTAGTAGTGGACCTTTAAAGACACTTTGAAGATAAATGTTTCAGATGTTAAAGATGTTTTAAATGACATTTAAATGATAGCTATATGTGACTTAACGACACTTTCTTTATGCCACTTTCACCAATTCTTACTATGCACAGACTCTAGAGAAAACTGAGGTGCTGGTTTGTTTCATCTCCCAGTGGGGCTTTATTCATTTAGTCATAAACCTACTTCCCTCAGTATTAGAGAAGTCTTTCATTAAGTACTGGCCAAGTAAGTTTATTCTGTCTGATGGCTTAAATAGGTTAAAAGAAATACACCTGCTGTATTGTGGAACATTAGGTAACTTAAAGTAGGTTTTTGAATCCTAAAATCATATAACACAAAATACAATAAAGGGATGTCTCTTCCTTCTTGGTCCTGGAGTTGTCTTACTACTTATTGATTTTTTAAAATTTTATTTTATGAGACGGAGTCTCGCTTTGTTGCCAGGCTGGAGTACAGTGGTGTGATCTTGGCTCACTGCAACCTCAGCCTCCTGGGTTTAAGCGATTCTCCTGCCTCAGCTTCCCGAGTAGCTGAGACTACAGGCGCACATCACCACACCCAGCTAATTTTTGTATTTTTAGTAGAGAGGGGGTTTCACCATATTGGCAAGGATGGTCTCTATCTCTTGACCTCGTGATCTGCCCGCCTCGGCCTCCCAAACTGTTGGGATTACAGGCATGAGCCACCGTGCCTGGCCCATTTTATTTTTAAAGCATGAAGTAGAACATTTTGAAAACCCGTGCTCTATAATATGAACATTTACTGCTTTTCATAGTCTCATATAAAATACAAAGCCTAAATAGCCGGGCGTGGTGGCGCACACCTGTAATCCCAACTACTCAGGAGGCTGAGGTGGGAGAATCACTTGAACCCAGGAGGTGGAGGTTGCAGTGAGCTGAGATCGCACCACTACACTCTAGCCTAGGTGACAGAATGAGACGCTGTATCAAAAACAAAAAACAAAACAAAACCCAAAGCCTTAAAATGCAATTTTGTTAGAAAAGTAAACATTTGAAACCTTGCACCAAATGTATTTATTATAAAAATAATACAAGCTTTTAAGCACTTTTTAAAGTATAGAAGTATTTAAAGTAAAAATGAAGGTCCTCTATTTTTTATTTTACTCCCTAGCTAATATAATTTAGACTTTCAGGAATTTCGTTTTTAAATTTAAAAGTTCTTGGCCAATCAAAAAATCTTTTTCAGGCTGGTCATGGCAGCTCATGCCTGTAATCTCAGCCCTTTGGGAGACTGTGGCAGGAGGATCACTTGAACTCAGGAATTCAAGAGCAGCCTGAGTAACACAGTGAGATCCCACCTCTACAAGAAAAAAAAAAAAAAAGGTGACACATGCCTGTGGTCCTGCTACTTAGGAGGCTAAGATAGGAGGATTGCTCGACCTGGGGAAGTTGAGACTGCAGTGAGCCCTATTCCTGCCACTGCACTCCAGCCTGAGAGACAGAGCGAGACCCAGTCTCCAAATTTTTTTTTAAAGTTTCACCTCTTAAAAGCTAACTTTAAAATAGTAATTACGCCTCCTTTATTAATGCCGTCACTGTAGCCTCTTTTATTTCCTACATCACAGGCTAATGAATATATGACTCTAACTTAAGATTCTCTTGAAAACTAAGCCCAAAATAGGAAGGAAAGAAAGGTGGGAGGAAGCCAGTGGCAATATATTTTTTATTATTATGTGCCTTTTAAGTGTAGAATTCAGTGGTTTTCAGTATATTTATGGAGTTGGGTGTCTTAGGCATAATTGAGACATTCTGATTTCTTAGGTCTTGAAATTTCAATGTTTATTTTTTAAAAGTTTTTATTATGGGGAATTTCTGATATACCCTAAAGTAGAAGAGTATAATGAACCCTAGTGTCCATTCTGCATCTTCCCCTCACCAGCCAATCTTCTTCCATCTTTTCCCTCATTTACTCCCCCAGGGTTATTTTCAAGCAAATTCCAGGTGTTATATTATTCTGTAAATGTTTCAGTCTGTATCTATACAAGATGATTTTTTTTAAATGACCACAGTAATGTTCACAATAAAAAAATTTAATAATTACTTAATATTAAATAACCAGTGTTCAAATTTCTAATAAATGTGAAAAGCTTAGTTTTGTTTTATAACTTATAGAAGATAATTTTTATTAACTTGTTAGAGAAAAGTTTGATGTCATACTAAATATACAATGTATTTTAATATCTGCTTCAAATGAATTTATGTCACTGAAGTAAAATCCCACAGATGCTTATATATATACTTATATATATACATATATATATATATATATTTTTTTTTTTTTGGAGTCAGAGTTTTGCTCTTGTCACCTAGGCTGGAGTGCCGTGGCATGATCTCAGCTCACTGCAACCTCTTCCTCCGGGGTTCAAGCGATTCTCCTGCCTCAGCCTCCTGAGTAACTGGGATTACAGGCACATGCCACTATGCCCGGCTAATTTTTTTGTATTTTTAGTAGAGTTGGAGTTTTACCATGTTGGTCAGGCTGATCTCAAGCTCCTGACCTGAGATGATCCACCTGCCTCAGCCTCCCAAAGTGCTGGGGTTACAGGCGTGGGCCACCGCGCCTGGCCCCAAAATGTATTTAATTTCCTGTCTTCCTGGACGAAAAAGTTCTTTTCTTACCTTTCCATGAATATCCACTTGGTTTGAGATTTCCTGGTCTTACACTTCTTATTTACAGGACTTAGGGAGACTGAACATTCTGTACTGAGGAAACAGAACAGAGGGCTGGATATTGCAGAAGTCCATCTTGCCTTCATAATGGTGCTCTTTTGGTATAAGTAATGAATTCATCTGGAGGTGGACTGAGGGGGAGTGGGCAGGGGAGATTATCATGGAATTTACTACCACTTATAGTGCCAGTATGTTTAAAGAAAGGCAAGGCCTTGGGGACTCAGCCAGTTTTTAACTTTGGATGAAGTAACTTGCTTTTGAGAGCACCATTAGATAAGGGAAAGGGACTTCTGATGGCTAAATAACCCATTAACTGTATCTCCCTAAGAAGATACAGTTAGAGTAACAACAGCATAGGAATAACCATAGTCATTTAGAATTGTGTACAGGTCAAATCCCGTTACAGCAATTTCAGAAGAGTATCAAACTTTCTTATTTGTCTTAAAGCTTATACTGCAAAGTATTAATATGTAATATATCATAGAACTTTTTTATTCTTAAGTTTCTTTGGGGAAAAAAGCACAAGGACTTCTGAAGGGGCATTTCTAATTAACCCCACGGCTAGCTTCCTTGTTACCAAGATCCTGGATGGGAATTTGCTGTTGCTGGTTGGCTGCATGGCACTAGGCAGCTCCTTGGGCTCACCTGCCTCGTGCTGTACCGCTCTGGAGCGTTCATTTATTCATGCAGCCTAAAAAGTGTAGTGGGCATCAAGATTTGTTTGGTGCTCTGGGAGAAGACTAACATCAATAAAAGATGCAGTCCCTGTTCATTAGGAATTTACAGACTGCTTGGAAGGGGCGACCACCAAAGCAGAGTCTAAGGTAACAGTGCAGTCACGAGAGTATTTGGAATTAGGGTGAAGTGAAGCTTTCCAGTGCTTACCACATCGCACATCAAATCATCTGCAAAGATCTGAAAGCATTTTTGTAGTATTTTGATTTTTATAACTTTCATTGTAACGGGATTTAACCTGTAACATTTTTTCATTAGAGAACTGCAGATTACACAAATGAAAATATCATAAATCCCCATTTGTACTTTCTGTACTTTGTACCAAGTATACTTAACTGTATGCTAAATATAGTATTGAATATGTATCAGTGCAAATATTAAGAGTCTTTTGCAAATAGATTTATGAACATGGGTACTTCTTTTGTTTACTTTTGTATTGAGTAAGATAGAACATGTACTGTTTATACAAAACATGCATTAAAATGTCTGGAATGTTATTTCGGTGTGTGATGGATGAGTGGTTGCTTTAAATCACTAGGTTTTTGATTGGTGCTAGAGTAGCTGGTGTTGCTTAACGTGGCATTTTTTTTCCTGTCCACACTTTCCACCCTTGGTACAGGTATTTTTGATAAAGCTGTGGAATGGAAAGGTATGTTTTTCATGGGATGTTCAAGAATCTGTTACATTAAGTTTTTTTAAAGCGGTTTCCTTTATGGGATTCCTTTTGGGTCTGGCTTAAGCAGACTTAGTTTAATTGTAACAAGTAACATTTTTAGAGGCAGTGTTTGAGTATAAAAGTTTGTCATGACACAAGTTTCTGACTTTACTTTTCCCCATTCCCTTATTAAAGATAGTACGAAGGATTTTAAAGCATTTGGGGTGGGGGTTGCTCTTAAAATATATGATCTGTGCCATGAAGAATGTAGCCCAAGGGTTGTTTATGGTAGTTAATGATCTAGTGTGTTGTTATTGCTAGAATCCTGGTTACCATAAATTTGCAATTTCATTGAGGAAAGTGATGTAAAAGTATTTCTTAATGTATTAATATGTGAAATAATTTTAGAGACTTTATTAAATTCACACAGTCCTCTTTATGGTGGAGGAACAGTTCAGCTTGAGCTGGTGACCGACTGAACTAGAGGGGTTACTCTGGGAAAGTGGCGAGTCGGCAGGGCATGTCTGCACAGATTTTGTGCCAGTTTTCCTGCCTGCACAGCGCTTTCTTCTCTGTCCGAGTTCTGTGCTGACCACAGCTGTCCACAGGCATGTTTACACTCCCTGTTCTTGCAGGTTGACTTGAGAGAACCACGTAGCTAAATTGGTGAGAGACTCAGCCTGACCGCTTGTCTTTAGAAGGCCTGATTGGAAGAGTGCACTCTATTGACTTTCCTCTAACAATGAAATTGTGAAAGGTACATGGGGCGGCTGTGAGACGTGCAGCTATCGGGTCTCACCGGCACATCCCTTTTCTCATAAAGCAATGAAGCACTTTCTAAGGCGTTGGTACTAGTGCTGGAAGCTGCTGGTGCATTAGATGCTGCCCGTCACATCGGTGGGCTGAGAAATCTTCCTTAAAGACCTGTGATGTTTTGTAAACCCTGACTGTTCTGGTGGTTGCAAAGTTAGTGTTTGTTCAGTGTTCCCCATCTCACTGGAAGTGTTTCCTTTTTCTCATTCATAGGGATCCTGTAATAAAGAGGGATCCGAACAAGCTCAGAAAGAAAATGAATTTCAAGTAAGTAATTGAGTCTGCATCTGTTTGAGATGTGAACTGGTGTTAGCCACCCTTTGCTACTCCAGGGCTTGGCAGTGTCTCTTACCTACCCTTGGAAAATCCTGATCTGTCTTTCTGCCAGGAGGGGCTCTTGGTATATCTATTGGAAGCCACTTTGCAGAGACTGAGTGAGCAGTAGGTATTCCTCTTTCCTCCTGAGAGTGTAGACTGTGGAAGTTTGGTGTCCTTATGGCAATCGAAACAGCATTGGGATGCTGGCAGATGGCAGCAGGGGAGCATTCGTGTATGGTACCCAATGTGGAGGCCTTGGCTGCCGCTGCTGTGATGCCTTTCTCACCCCCTCTTGGTCGTACCCACGGCCCAGTGGTTTTGGTGACCACCCTTTTTCCCTGGGCAAGCAGCAGTGTTTTTTCCTATGCATGATACCCAAGTTGGAAAAGCTTCTTCCTAGACTTAGAGAATGTGACCCCACTCTCTGAAACTCACATGTGCAGATGGCTTGAGGCCGAGAGCACTGATGGATGGAGCCTCAGAAGCAGGGGTCTGGGGTGTTGGTCTGCATGCCCCAGTGTAAGCACCTTTTGAGCATCTCTGCCGTTATGTGCAGGCTCACAGAGAAGGGTGCATGTGCACACATGCCCAACATACGTGGATCTAAGATGTAGATACATGCACACATCGCTACATCACTTTTACCAATTGTATATTGATTATTAAAATAGCCAAGAAATAGGCTGAGTGTGGTGGCTCACGCCTGTAATCCCAGCATTTTGGGAGTCTGAGGCAGGTGGATCATGAGGTCAGGAGTTCAAGACCAGCCTGGCCAACAAGGTGAAACCCCGTCTCTACTAAAAACAGAAAAATTAGCTGGGCATGATGGTGGGCACCTGTAATTCCAGCTACTTGGAAGGCTGAGGCAGGAGAATTGCTTGAACCTGGGAGGCGGATGTTGCAGTAAACCCAGATTGTGCCACTGCACTCCAGCCTGGGTGACAGAGCAAGACACTGTCCCCTCAATGCAAAAAAAAAAAAAAAAAAATCAGGAAATAGACATTAAAACAGTTGAGCTAAAAAAGGAATGAAAGTGATGATATTTTTTCCACATGTTTCAGCAGCTTGTTTTGCATGTGTCCTGCTCTGGGGGCCCTGCTAGAAGATCTAGAACTTGTGCTCTCTGGAGTGACAGTGACTGGGAAGTCCTTGGGTGGGAAGTGATTGACATTCTGTTGTCAACCATTCCAAGCCCTTTGTACAGAGACCTTTGGACATCCTGGTAGCTGAAAATGTTGGATCACAAGGACCTCCGTGATGCTAAATCCAAAGTACTTTTCAGTTCTCATTTTATTTTGACTTCTCAGTAGCATTTGACATGACCCCCGCCCTTTTGAAATGTTTCCTTTCCTGAGGGTAGCCATGACACAGAGACACAGTACAGATCTGGCTGTCTACATGCTGGGGCGCCCCATGGTTTGACCATAGACCCTCTTCTCATGTTGTCCTCTCTCCCTCAGTCACCTGATCTATAGGCCAAAGGGCCACTGCATTTTTCCTCCAGCCCTGACCTCGACTTGGAACTAATGCCATTGGCTAGCAGTCTCTCCCGGATGTCTCACACGCCCCTCAAACTCGCCATGTCCTACACTGCCTGCTTGGGCTCTTCACATCCCCCCACAGCACAATCAAAATCTAGTCCTTTCTGGTGATCTCTTTTTCTTGGTTGCTCAGCCAGTTAGTTCCCAGGCCAGAAAGCAAGGCGTTACCTTCGAGATCCTGCTGTCACTTACCCTGGCATCCTAACCATGATGTTGATATTGCCTTTGAATTGCACCTTACATCTGCCTTCTTCTCTTGTATCCCACAAACTATTCCCTTTATCGTTGCCATAGTCATCTTTTTGAATTGCCGACCCGCTCGTGTCCACCCCTTGCTTAAGATCCTTCCACGTTCGCTCTGCACCTCTGGCCAGGTTAAGGGGGCCTTTGCCTCCCATGTGCTCAATAGTCTGACCCCTGCTGACCTTTCCAGCCTCAGCTCACAACCTGCTTCCCCCACCCTTCATTCCCTCCAGCCAGGTTGTCCTAAACCCTGTGGTTTTTTCCCTGCCCTGGGCCTTTGCAGATGCCTTTTCTGTTGGCTGGCTCCAGGCCTTCACCTGTTTCCCACCCCCTAGCTCTTCTCATAATGAGGATCAGCTGGGGCTTCTTGCACAGGGCCCCTCCTGGCTTTCCAGACAAGGTTGGGGCTTTCATTTCATGCTCTCACAACACCAGGGACTTCTTTGCATTTTTTTTTTTTTCTTTCTTGAGATAGAGTTTCACTTTGTCATTCAGGCTAGAGTGCAGTGGCGCAACTGCAGCTCAGTGAAGCCTTCTCCTAGGCTCAAATGATCCTCCTGCCTAGCTTCCCGAGTAGCTGGGACTACAGGTGCATGCCCCCACGCCTGGCTAATTTTTTGTATTTCTCCTAGAGATGGGGTTTTGCCATATTGCCCAGGCTGGTCTTGACCTCCTGAGCTCAAGAAATCTGCCTGCCTCCCTTGGCCTCCCAAAGTGCTGAGATTACAGGTTTGAGCCACCGCGCCCAGCCCTTTGCACTCACTTTCTTTCTTTCTTTTCTTTTTTTGAGACAGAGTTCCTTCGCTCTGTTGCCCAGGCTGGAGTGTAGTGGTGCCATCTTGGCTCACTGTAACCTCCACCTCCAAGGTGGTGAGGCATGATTCTTGTGCCTCGGCCTTCTGAGTAGCTGGGGACTACAGGCATGTGCCACCACACCCAGCTAATTTTTGTATTTTTAGTAGAGACGGGGTTTCGCCATGTTGGCCAGGCTGGTCTCAAACCCGTCACCTCCAGTGATCTGCCCACCTCGGCCTCCCAAAGTGTTGGTATTACAGGCATGAGCCACTGCCCCTGGGCCCTTTGCACTTTCTATGGCTGTAAATTTTCAGTATTATATGATTTTTGCTCACACGAGACGCTGAACTCAAAACAGGCTTTTGCTGCTTCCTGCTGTCCCACTGCAACTACAGCAGCGGGTACAGAGCAGGACGCAGTGAAGAATTGCTGAAGGCTGGTGGCGGCTGCTGCCAGTGGACATCTCAGACGTTCTACCCTTGCCTGCCGGTACACACTGTTGTCCATTCCTCTCATCAGGTTCAGATGCCTTCACCTCAGGTGACCCTTCAGTTATAGCAGCACCACTTCTCCCTCCTCAGGGCCTCCCGAGAAATGGCAGAGATTTGGGTCAAAGGGTAGGCAGGTGGTTGTCAGAGTGGAGGAGTTGGTTTTGTCTTCTTACTTGAGCCCTTTTGAGTTGCCGGTTTTGGTCTGCAGACCCTGCTCTTCTGAACATTTCCTCCACTAACTGGTCTTCTCCAAGCCTCACTGTCTCAGGAGACTCCCTGCCCTACAGCCTTCTCCAGAGGAGGCGGTTTCCTCAGTCACTTCCCAAGTACCTCAGGGCCACTAGTGGGGTTGGTGCCTTCTTGCTCCTTCCTCATTCCTGCCTGCCATGTCTCCTGTGTTGAAAACCCAGTTTTGTGAGGCTCACACCCATGGCTCTAGCCCTTGACTCCTCCTGACGGCTCTCATCCCTTGGTGAAGATTTCAGTCCATGGCTCAGCCTCTGAGTTTGTTTTGGTTCCTGCTGTCATTCTCTGGGCTCTGTATCTTGACCTCCTCATCCACTAACAACCTTTTCCTCTCATTCCTCTTCCATCATCCACTCATGGATGTGCCCCAGACCTAATTGCCAGAAATTGTGCCCTCTCTGACATGAAGAGAAAAAGGAAGGCCTGAAACAGACCTCTCGGCTCTGGAAGGCAAACCTGGAGAAACTCAACAGGCTGCCCAGCAGTGGTGAGCACCCACCCAAGGCTTGGCCCCATAACTGTAAGATGAAGCTGGTCCTGCCAATGGTGACATGCCAGTTTCAACAACCCATCTGCTGAACTCCCAGTACACTTTGGCACCCCCGTAGCCATGGCTCTGTGACCACAACTGAGACCTCTGGTCCAGACACGACTGACTCCTGGCTTTCCTTCAGTCCTCCGTCCCACGTTCACCTTGCCCGGCTGAAGAACTACACTCTGCCATCATGAGCCTTGCCTTCCACACATTCTCACTCACTCTCTCCACTGGCCTTCTGCTGGACTCATCTCACAAAACCCCACCCCTGCCAAACACGGCCACCCACTTGCCTTCTCTGTGCTGCACCCAAGCAGCTGAACATTGTTAGAGGAAAAATCCATCATTGGCAGGACCAGCTTCATCTTACAGTTATGGGGCCAAGCCTCGGGTGGGCGCTCACCACTGCTGGGCAGCCTCTGAGTTTCTCCAGGTTTGCCTTCTAGAGCTGAGAGGTCTGTTTCAGGCCTTCCTTTTTCTCTTCAAACCTCCCTGTTCCTGCCCTGAGCAGGCAGTATCACCTCACTCCCCAGCTGCTGCTTCTCTCCTGTCTTTGCCTGTAAGCCCTCTGCATTTGTACCCGTGTCTTCCACTGACTGTGAAGGGCTGTCCTTCCCTGGGCTGCATGTGTTGAACTCTCCACTTGTCTGCTTTTGGGCCTGACTTCTTGACCTGTCCCTTCACCCCTTGTACCTTCCTCTCCCCTTTTTCATTGGCTGTTTCTTCTCAACCGCCCTGCCATCCAGGTGAGCCCCAGTCACCCCACAGAATCATGAGAAATAATAAACTGGTCACTTGCCTTGTGCTTTTCTTGGCCACACCCTGTCCCTGCTTCCTTTCCCACAAGATTTCTGGAGGTGGTATCTCCTGTCTCTGCTTTCTCACTTCCCCGTCTTCTTTTTCGGAAGGCAAGTTTGAAAGCATGGGAAAGTATAGTAAGCACCTTTATTCTCACTGTGCAGAATTAGTCACTTATTTTGTTATATTGCTTGATTTCAGTCTTTTTTATATGAACTTATTTTTAACTTCTTATTTCATACCAATTTTAGACTTACAGAAAAAAATTTCAAGAATAGTACAGAGAGGCCGGGCATAGTG